CTGAAGCAAAGTATGAACGTGGCTAAAGGCACTTTCCGCGATAAAATAAGGCTATGACCTTTCAAATGTGTCAGACGATCCGGAAGGAGTTTGCGGAGGCTGCGCTACCTTTAGGAAGTGAAAATCGGCAAGAATTCCGCTTTAAGCTAACCAATTAGGCCCATTGGCGCCTCTTAGGCCCATGCCGACCTCCACCGGCTGCTAGCTACTAGCTAGTAGCCACTATATATCTCTCTCCATTCCGAATGGTGAGAGTGAGGTGATAAGATAAAAGAGCTGATATCTTTATGACAACGACGAGTGGAAATTCGTACAAACATGCGTTTTCTTCATTGCATGCTTGTACAAGTTGGGTCGATATGAATCCTACTTAGGGCATTCTCGGCTGTTTTTCCGCTGCTTTTCTCCGCTAATCAGATACCAAGCCCTTCTTTGTTCCTATGTGGGTTCCGTTACCCACAGTCTGTGGTCGCGGGCTTTGCCTTTAACGTTCACGGCACAGTCTCTATGATAACCCCTTGACCAACTTACAACTAGTACTACTGAGTGGGGCGCTATGGATCGTGACAGACACACACACACAGCAGATTATATGGTAGACTCGTCAGGTGCATTAGAATTACCCATGGACTTTCTAACCTGTAACCTATGAGGAAACGGTCTCCAGCGAAATTCTGAGCACTTGTAGACCAGCTAGAAACAAGGAGCCCTGAATATTAGACAATAAGTGATGGATAATTATGTGAGAATCGCTGAGAACGGCCTCGAGGAATAGTTGCCAAGCCGATTGTGAGATGTGTTGAAGGCTTGGTTTCTGCGAATAACAAAGAAAACGAGAAGAGTAGAGCGCCCGCGTTCACCATGGTGATTGGAAATCCAAATGAGAAAGTCAAGATGCTAACGAGGAGAATGTGGAATGGAGCAAAAGTACATCAGCACTAACCCGTTTAATTAGGAAGTGGTGAGCCCTGAATAAGGTAAATAATGCGTCTTCTCACCCCACTGGGCATGCGGGAAATGGCTTGCTAAGATATCCCATGGCACATGTCTAGAGACAATGAAATCATCTAACTGGCTTGTCTTGGACTCTTACCAAAAAAGTCAATTTTGCTATTGTTTACAGAAGAATAAGGTGATAGCAGCTGGTCTTCAGTCTAATGGCAAGAAAAAGGAAACGGAAGAATCGTCATATCTGATAAGAGATTTAGGCTGAAGTGTCAATCAACTGAATAGTTCCGCTGCCCTGCCACGCTGACTAAGCACATCTGCTGACTCATTGCTGTCACTGGTGAATGGGACTGAATCCATGTGATTTGCAGGCGAATGCTGTGAAGTTACCAGAGTACTACTTAGCAGTGCCAAGCCAAATGAGGGTTTAAAATATAGACCGAAATCAAAGGATAAGGTAAAGGATAAAGTCTTCGCCAGAACCATTGAAGAAAAATTATAAAACTCTCCTCGTTCATCAACCCCGTCATCAACCTCCCCCCTCCCCGCATTTTTCTTCTGTTCAGAATCGAAATGACTCATCGAATGCCTATACAATGACTAACAGGGCCAGTCGATGTACAAGTCAGTGTTCTCATCTTTGCTGACGAATCTGAAACCGATTCTCCGTTCCCGCATTGTAGGAGGCCTGGCCGGCCTAGGCGCGAGCGATCCAGGATCAACACTCCTTATTCCCGAGATGATGTAGGCGTGCATCTGGACATGGCATAGGTTCGGTTACTCGTGAAGTATTTCAACTTGAGACAACTGTCATATTGCTTTTTGGTGAACAATGAGATGACCACAATGGTCTCAAAAAGAAAATATCTCACCGAAAGCATAGTCACCACTGTGTTTAGTTGAAGTACGCAGCCACGCCCACCGCATCTCAGAGATTTCGAGTGTACCCTGCTGGCGCGCGTGATGATCGTGACACGTGCCGCTACATTACGTCCGCCTCTAATTAGAACGGGAGCACGAATAGATGGGAACTAAAAAAGGGAAAACAGAAAGCTCACGTGAGAGCCGTCGGATTGGTTTCACTCCTGTAGTCCATAGTCCATTAATTGGAACCAATTTTGTCCGGGACTGTATTGGCCAAATCGCATCCGAAATGTCACTATGACATTCAACCGTAACCCGAAAGCATAAAATGCCGCCCTCCAAAGCATGCCCGCCAACAGTTGTTCTGTCCCTAAAAACGATCACGCTGTGACGGAGCAAGGAAACAGGAGGCGGGCTCACTTTTTTGTTTTTTTTTTTTTTTTTTTTTTTTTTTTTTTTTTCTTTTTTTTTTTTGTTTTTTTTTTTCCGCTACCCTCCTGACAAACTCCTGCCTGTGGGTGACGTCATGAACTAACCTAGGGATCGGTCGTCAGTCGAAGTGGCCGCTTTGAAATGAGACCTAGACCACTAGACGTATTTTCAGACGCTGATTGTTCAAATCTGCATTCCAAATTTGCCAAAGCGATTCTGTGAACGGAGTTATGACGGGTCGTTTGGCTGAAGCGGCGCGGGGTCGGCGGCAGTTGCCAGCCAGCGGGCCTGAGTAACGCGGCAATGCAGCGCAATCATCCAAACGCGGCGGTGGCACAGAGGTAAAGATGTCCTAGGTTCATAGGGCACATGATGAAAGGTTCGATCCGACGAGACTGTGGTTCGTTTTGCATTCCGTGGCAGGACGTTCCTAACGACTATGCTAACAACTTTCAGCGTTGATGTGACCCACATTTTTCAATCTGGGGCTGGGTGCGATCAGTTGTGATCTACAATCTTAATGGAATAGATGCAGATTGTTCCGGATCAGTCCTAAGCTGCGAAATGACGTGGCAAGCACTGCTCTCTTTTTATTCGTGTTCTCATTGTGAGGCAACTTCTCCTGTTTTGACCACTTTGTATTAGGGTATCATATTTGCTCATGAGGTGAAGGAGTCATTTTTTTGCATAGCATTAATTTGATCGTGGTAATGATTTGAAGAATGTAATTCCCATGAAACTACAAGATGTAATATCAACCTGATCACGCCAGCCCCAGTTGAAAAATGTGGCTCACCTCAACCCCAGCTTGAAGTGCTTATCAGGATCGTAGGACGTCCTCCCACGGAAATGCAAAAGCAAAGCCACACTCTCGGGATCCGAACCTTCATCGTGTCCCATGAACCCGTAGACTCTTACCTCTGTGCCACCCCGCCGTTTGACGAGGCGCTGCATCGTTACTCATGCCCGCACTGCTGGCAACTGGGCCGACACCCCCGCGCCGCTTCCAGTCAAACCGACGCCGTCATAACTCGTCACAGAATCGCTTTGCAATTTTGGAAATGCAGATTTGAAATCACGTCTGAAAATACGTCTAGTGGTCTAGGTCTCATTACGAAACGGCCACTTCCGACCTAGACAGACCATCCCTATAGATCTTTACTGTAATAGAGTTGCTCAGGCTTCAAATAACCTTTTCCGGCGAATATTTCCGTCACAAATATTTGTAAACCTTTAAGGGACGTATTAAATGTGTTTGTTTAATTTTTTTTGTCTTCCAGCTTGATCAGAAGTTGTATTTCTCCTATTTCTACTCACATGTTCTTCAAAATGTCTACAGAATAAATAATATAGAATGGCGGGAAGTTCTGTCACTCCCCTTTTCCGAACTCAAAATTACTTGCTTCATTAGCAAGAGTGGTAAACCGGTGATGTTAAGCCTTGTACAACAAGGATTGGTCTCTCTCTGTAGTACGCAGTCGCTTGCCTGCTTGCTCTCTCTTCTGCAATATGCACAAGGATTTTTATCCCCTAACCACCAGCCCCCGGAATCCAACAACTTCCACAAACTATTTCACACCTACCATACCCTGACGCCAGCGTGTTCGCTGCAGATGCCACATTGATGAAGCTAATAAGCACCGATGCCCCCAATCATTAGAGCAACGCTTACCACGAACAGTGACCACTTCAAGAGCGGGAGCCTAGAGCCTACGAGATGACGAAGTGAGGTTTGGTTACCTGGCAACTCAGCTTGAGGAGCTATGGGTGGAAAACTGGTGGATAAGAAGTTTGTTTTCTGGTCAAAGGCAGTACCAAAGCAGCTACGAGATCTAAGGTTGTATCCGTGGATCAGAGGGAAAAATTTGTCGCAACACGACCGCCCTCAACCAAGATAGTGCAACGCTTGGTCCAAAAAAGTCGAGCCCGTACTCATGCAATGGAGCTTGATCTCTCTCCCCTTGCAATTGTGTAGCACAGACAATCGAGCCTTCTAATAGCAAATTGCCTTCCCTAATCAGTGCGTTATGTGACAAGAAAATCTTCATAACCCTCAAGTTCAAAGTCGAAGTTGAGATGGCGTCCACTTTGCTCGTGTCTGCCCTGCATTGTTCAAGCGATGGCATCCCATGAAGTACTCAGACACTGGCAAGGACCCGCAGTAAAAGCATTGCTGTAACATTTTATCCTACACTCCCTCTCTAATAAAAAAAGCCTAGTTTACAAATTGTGACAGAACTTTCACCGCCATACCTAATAAATCAAATAAATAATGGCCGCAAGGTTCGCCCTACGATATTTTTAGCATTGAGCCCCAGCTCAAAAAATGATATACCCAATAATCGGGGATCCACGAGAAGAACACTGTCGTAACCGTTCCCTGGCATCCAGTGACCGATTTCCACAAAATCAGAAAGATCAGGGGAATGTCTGAAGTGTTTCCCTTGGAAGTCTTGCTGTTGTGAAACTTGTACGATATTACGCAGCATACAAAGAAATGTTCTGCTTTTCATTAAGCATATTGGTTTATTGAAGTGCTCCGTAAAAAACCTAAAGAGAAAGCTGCTTTTCAAAAACATAACAACAAATGGTAAAATGATATTTTCCTTATAATTCACAATTTATTTTTGATAACTTATGCGTCACATGAAATCCAATTATTAGAGCTGATATTTCTATACATTCCACAACAATAAAATGTAGATATAGATGAGCTTGAAGTTGAGTGATTTGAGAACAGTTGCATAAAACATGGACTAGCCAATGGAGATCGTGAGGCTTGTTCTAGTGCGTTTATCGTTGAAATCACACCGAATGTCACACCACCGCCTAAACAAAAGAGAAATATATAGTAGTTAGCAAGTTACTGTGGTGAACGTATACTCCATATCCCAGAGAAGGAGTAGGTGTGGCTGAGTATTTCATCTGAACTGTCGCAGGAGGCACTTCTCAAGGGACGCGTCCAATCGGGACAAAGTTCCTCCTTTCTTGCGCCCTACGTCGACACGATTATAGCACCCCCAAAATGGTAATTCCACTAAAGGCAGCCAACGGCTCGTTCAAATAATGTCTGCGGCCACGCCCATCCCAGGTTCAGGAGATAGTGTGTCTGCGGACGTATTCTCATTTTTATTCAGTGTGATTACCGTTTTGGTGATTACGACAATGATACCTTCTCACCACATTTGAAGATACATTCACGGAGTTGCTAGAGAAATGACCCAGAGGTTAAGCAATTTTTCCTAACTCAATTTTTTTTTCTCAAGAAAGCCTAGTAATCAAGGAAAGGGGGGTAGATGATAGTGATGGGTCAGTGGAAGATGAAGGAGAAGTACACGCTGTGAGCGGGGCGTACGCCGACTGGGCGAAGCTAAAGTCAAAAATTCCTAGATCGATTTCGGAGCAAAGAGAACAGGGAAAAGTGAGTGAAAGTAAGCAAAGGAGAGATGGGTAAAATGGGGAAAAGCAGGGGAGAGATGGGTGGGTTGTCCACTGGGGAAGGAACTTTTCTTGTTGTAGGCGGAAAAAGGAAAAGGACTCATGTCGATTTCATGGCACACCAGGATAAATTATTTGTATCTCTTATTGACCCTCATTATCGCTTCTTTTCAATCAGTACCGACTGACGGAAACATATGCCGAAAGTCAGATTGCCAGCTGGCGTCGGCGCTTGCCCTTCTGTGGCGCAGCTTCGCAGCGCATGCTTCCCCTCATTGTGTTGAAATAAACAGTCAATGCCTAGCCTCCATCTCTCATCTATGAACTTGATCGAGACCGGGAAAATATCGGGCCGAAAGGGCCAGGAAAAGAGGATCTTCGGCGTGAGCCGGATATTGAAGTGTTGAGTGGTAAAGCGCAAAGAAATTACAGAATGAAGAAACAACAGACATACTCGTGAAATAACTTACCAATTACAAAAGCCTCAACCATCAAACGCAATTTGCTCGTCTTTGTCATAATCCTGAATATATAGTGCTCATGTGAAATCACATCAAAAGTGGGAAGTATACTACTCTACTCTAAGTAGTCCTTATCCCTGACACGGAGTAGGCGTGGCTTTTAAGCATGGCATAGGACGGATTTCTCGTGGCATACTTTAATTGAAACAACTGCTATCTTGTTGTGTGTTAGATGGGGACACGATAAATCCGAAACTCCGAATCCGAACTCCGAAATGACAATATCTCACGAAAACCTGGGCCGCCGCCATTTTAAAATCAAGTACGCAGCCACGCCTACCCGATCTCAGGGATTTCGAGTGCTACTGCCATTGGCTATCTTTTCATGTAGCCATGGAAAGGTATTGTCGAGAAGACTGAAAAGTGAGTGGCACGAACTGTTTTAAAGTTGGAATGGTGTTGTCGTCCTCATCACATGAGCCACTTATTCGTGGTGCTTCCTCTCGTAGTTTTTCGGCTGCTTCGAGATAAAGAGAAAATAGCCCCGGAAAAACCAACGTAAGGGCAGTCATCGATGTGCTCCCCACCTGGAATGATGGAGAAATTTTTATTCACTAGCCAGTTCGTCATAAAGGAGCTAAAACAGGACAGTGGAGTTGAAAAACGGAAATTTCTAGACTCGATTTCCATCTCAAAATAATTCCAGTCTTCTGTCTGTTTCTTAATTGTAGTAAGAGTGTACACGGTGTCAAGACAGCTGCTCGACTCAGCAGTCGGCAAGACGGTCAAGACAGTCGTAACTCGAGCCGCGCGCGGCGTTGGGCGCGGCTTTCTTCTAGTTTGCGTGAGCCCGTGGACTGGAACACCGAATTTCATGTGAACGACATCGTGGACAATCGTGGCTATTTTTGACTATACATACTTTAGTGGCCGACTACGACCTGTAAAGACAGCCATATGGGGGCGCGACGTCGCACGCGACGCCGCGATTTATGATTGTCTTGTCACATACCGCAGCGGTTGCGACAAGGTGTGTGAAGAATGACAGCGGATACGTTTTGTCCTCCTGTCTCGTAGAAGACGAAGAAACGAGTACATTTGTCCTAAGACGGCTATATGTAAATGCATATCCCCAAATGCATAGCCGCCACCACGTTCAACCAAAGCCCGCAGCCACGCCCTCAATGTTTCCTGGATATGAAGTCTATGCTCACGATGAAGGGTTTATGGTTCACTGGGTTGTGGAACATTCACCAGAGTTCGTCACTGCGCTCGTCATGCCGAGTCATCGCATTAAAAGCAAGCCTTGCGATAAGATACTCTGTTGCGTAGAGGGGGCGCAAATAAGGATGCCGAAATGCCGAGAACGTCCTGGTGGAAGGGAGAAAACAGAAAAAATAGTTTCATGTTGTTATTGTTTGTTGACTGCTGTTTGACGTCGCAGTACGCAGTTACGAAAGCTATCACAAGAATGCTCAGTTATGGGCAAAAGTCGGACAGGATCCGAACCCGCATCTCCTGCTTACCGGGCAGTTGCGTTTCCTATTACGCTACCGAGGCCACTTTTTGACCACTCAGCTCGATGGCTATTTGTGCCATAGTCGTCAGTGCTCTAAATAGAACCCTCTGGCGAGCACATTCGACCGAGCAGAGGGCGAGCAGAGGATGTGATCGGGCGAGATCACTTGACAGGGGTTTGTGGTTGATATGGATGCCGCAGATGAGCCCTTGCAGCAGTGCCCTGCCACGTTGTTTGTTGGGTCTTCGGTTATAGTGGGTGGTTAAGCGGTGGGAGGAATCAACGAAGGTCGGTCGTGCCAATGGGGAACGACGGCATGGGCGCCCTTGTCGCTCGACCTTGCGGACCTTTCCTTTGAAATCATTAAAGACACGTGACGCGATAGACGGATGGACGGATAGGCGGACGGAGAGATTCACCAAATGCCTTCCACGCTCTCTCCCTCCCTCATCTTCTTCCAGTTTCCCGCCCATCTGACTGTCACGGAATCTATCTTAAGAGCAAATAAGACACATAACTTCGAAACTCACCAGATCAAGGAAAACCCCGAAATTCGGTAGCAGAGATGCAACGGATGTTGTGAGAAATAGGACGGCCGTTCGAACAAGAAAGCGTCCAATGCCAAATTCTAGAAATTTCATTAATAAAATGTGTTCGGCAACATTAGAGGTTAATAAGAATGAAGTTGAAGTTGTTGAAGAGTGGAGTCATTCTTATTAACCTCTAATTTCGTTGTTCATTCCGTTGTTAGTCACAAGAGGAGATAGCTGCCTTCCTAGTTCGCTGATGGGCTTCCCCTTAGGAGGCTGAAATGGAAAGCGACTATTTCGCTCCCCTACCTCAAGGTGGAGCACAGCCGCCGCCGCCGCCACCACCAGCTGGAGGATCAGCGGCAGTCCAGAACAGAGGTGGAAATAGAAAACCATCGGGCGCAAAGCGTTGAGCATCGGAAGGGTCTACAAAGAGGACCAGAAAGACTTGCTTTACGATTCTCCTGATAGCTCTGGTGATCACGATTGTGTTCTTACTTTTGGCTGTAGCTTTCACTGTGACTGTACTTCTACACGTGATTGGTACTTACCTTTATTCCGCAGCTTCTTCCTTATGAATGCTAAGCTAGGAACGAAAGCGATGTACTTCTACTAGAGTAATTCATCACGACGAACACTGCTGAACTAATTTTCAATGGGGAGACGAGAGTTTTGAGTACTGGTAGCGCTTGACGATTCCACTCCTCAAGACTGATGTCGATTTTCATTGAAATTCGTCACAGGACTATAGTTCGCTAGAAGGTTGTCACCAGGGGTGGTTTGACTATGTGAGAATGCATATTTCATCAGAACGGCGAGAATGAGAGAATGAATATTACATCAGAACGGCGCAAATACGTTCGGGGCTCAAACTACAGGCGCTCGCCTCCTGACTTCCGAAGAGTACCTGTAATGGGTAAATAGCGCCGAATTTGGACTTGCCTACTGTAAGTACAATTGGACAAAGTGATAACTGGCTTCCTCCTGTTCGTCAGTAAGGAGAGGTAATTTATGAAGGAGTTTGTACCGCGTCATGATCCCTACACACGTTAGGGCGCGTGACAGGGGCGTATAATGGATCGCAGCCAGTACAGAGTTCCTACCAAAGGTAGCGACCTCAGAATAGTATCACTGGCGAGACAGGGCGCCCTGGCAGTGCTCCAGTCCGCGTCGCGTCACGCCCTATCTCTTGCGGGGATCATGACTGCATGCGAAAGCGATTTCCGTACGAAATCCGAACAAGAGGAAGACGGGGCTTATAATGTAAATGCATTCTCACTTCCATTCTGCGAACAACAAGGATAGATTACTAGACCACTATAAGGTTTTCATATGATTCTCGCCCCATTTCGTTAAAATTCAAATTTTCCTGTCCCATGACGGGACAGGAAAATTTGAATTTTAACGAAATGGGACGAGAATCATGTTCAGCTGTCTGCTAGCTGTTGCAAGGGTACCATCACAAACTGAGTAGGGTTAGCCGAAGTCTCAGCAAGAAAGGGAGAAGGCAAGACAATCGTAATCTGTAGCTCCATCGCTGGGCGCGATCTGTGCGACGTTTTCTTAAATTGCGTTAGTCTGTCGCTTAGAGGGTTGAATTTTACGTAGACGTTGACATCGTCGGGTATGTGACAAGAGGATCGAAATTCGCCGCGCTGCTGGGCGTCGCGTGCGACGTCTTGTCTGCAAAGGACGAAGGTTCCAAGTAGTAGATGGCGACAACATGCAATTAAGGACCGAAAACAGTAAGGACTGTCTACGATGACGGGGTCTACATGAAGTACGGTGCTCCATTCGACAGGTTAAAACGAGTTATGAAAACGTCGCGCCCATCGCCGCGCGTGGCGGTGCGGCCAAATTACGATCCTCTTTACCGTCTCCCGAGGTCGTCGACATTTATGGCTATTTTCGGTTACACATTGCCCACTGTCGCCATTTACGGCATTGAAACTCGTCATTTGCAAGCGCTACGTGGCACGCAACGCCCCAGCTCGCGCATGCTATCAGTTTGTCGGGAGGTTTTCAGCATTTTGTGTTACTATTTTTGTACATCACTGATGATTAAAAACTCATTCTCCTTTGCGTCTCAGTAGCACATCTTGAAGAGAATTTTTGCGCTATCTGATGGTATGATTGCCGTTTCACCATCGCTTGACAAACCCCCTTTTTTCAAGAGTTTTTCAAGCATGTCAAAAGAGCAACTTTGGACGATATTCTTCTTCAACTACAGATTGTGTCAATCCGCAGTCGAGACAGCTCGACCAAATGACCAGTTTGGGGCCTGATAGTGTTGGAGAAAGCACCGTGCGACAATGGTTCGACAAATTTCGTTCTGGAGATCTCGGCCCTGAAGATGAACTTCGTAGCGGTCGAAAATAAGCAATACCTGACGAGGATTTGAAGGGGTTTGTGATGGCTGACCCATCCCAAAGAGGTTCTAGAGATCGCAGAAAAGCTAGGCCATTGGCAAAACTCAACTTCAGACCATCCACTGTTGTGGATGTCTGAAACGCAGTGGGAAGGTTGAAAAAAAAACTTCACAAGCTGGGTGCCCCACAGTTTGATGTGACCAGCAGAAATTGGCACGTCTCGAGGTTTCTTCTTCACTGCTTATTGCGCAGCAGAAACAACCCGTTTTTGAACCGAATTGTCACCTGTGATGAAAAGTGGATCATGTATGATAACAGGAGACCGGTCCGGATAGTGGTTTGGATGCCGAAGAACCACCGATGCAATCTCAAAGCCGAATACTCACGAAAAAATATTATGGTCACAGTGTGGCGGTCATCGGTGGTGTGACCCCACTATAACTTTTGTCACCAAGCCAAACCATCACAGCAGAGTCCTACTGTGAAGAAATCGACGGAATGTACCGAAAATTGCGTCAGGCAGCCAGCACTTCTCAACAGAAAGGGTCCGATTCTTTTGCATGACAACGTCGCTCCACTCATTTCACAAATCACTATCCATTAATTGAACGGATTGGGGGTTGAAGTTCTACCTCACCCGCCATGTTCTCCAGAACTTTCACTTACCGGACTATCAATTTTTCAAAACATTTTCAGAACTTCCTGCTGGAAAATACTTCATCAATCAGGACCAGACAAAAAGGCCTACATGGACTTTCGTGTATTCTCTACCGCCCAGTTTCTTTGGTGGATATTTATCGAATGGTGTCACGTTGTCAAAAGTATGCTGATTCGAACCGGTACTATATTCGGTTAAATCGATGAGCGCTAAGAAAGTTATGATCGTTCAAAGTGAAACACTTCAAAGCGCTGAGAACTTCTCGGACAATTTAATACTACAACAAACAAAGTGTCAGGCTCACTGGACTCTGAAAAAGAAAAAGTACGCGGTTCCAGCTCCTTCGAGACCATATACTTCTCTCACAACGAACCTCTCAAATATATTATTAGGGTGTCCACAAAGTTCGTTGGCCATTTGTAAACAGCGTCGCGTTACGCAACGCGGTTGTGATTTTACATAAGATTTCGCAATACTGAAAGTACTCGCGATGGGCTATCTTCTGACTAGCTAGCTCTAAATTTCCTTTCCTGCTCTTCCCACAATAAAGCAGGTGAAGATGAGTGATAGTCACCACCACCGCCGATGTTTGCTGGACTACTACAACCTGGGCATTCCAGACGTCAGGCCACGACCAGGATGCGTCAGCAGTTTGGTAATAACCCTTCTAAGAACTGGATGTCAAAATGGTGGACTCGCCTCACCAATGAAAACTATGCATCGAAATATGCCGAGTTTCGGTTCTCTCGTCACGCGCGTCGTCCACTATAGCACCCTACCTCAACAATGCCACAGTGACGCAGAGACCCTCTCTTAAAGAATTACAGGAGGTCAAGGTGAAAGCTGCCGCCTTGTCCAGAAACTTGCAAATCCGGTGGTGCTCTGGACACACGCGCGCCCCCACAAACGAGAGATACTCAGGCCGTCCTGGACAGGCTGGCATCAAGACGTTCAACGCATCCACCGTATAGCCCGGACATTAGTCCATGCGATTACCACATCTTCCGGTTCATGCAAAATTTTCTTGGACGAAAACAGCTGAAGAACGAGCGCGACCTCGAGGACGTGATCGAGGACTGGGCCGAGTCGCGGCCGGCCAGTTTTTGGGAGGATGGAGTTGGCCTCTCTACCCGATCGTGTGGCGAAAGTAGTGGGTATGCATGGAGATTATATCATGGACCGGTAAGTTCAACTTGGTGAGATATCTTTACCAGCTCTAAAAAAACGAAAGGCCAAGAACTTTTGTGGACACCCTAATAATATATGGAGCTAAAACTTATGCAGCGAAACTACTCCCAATATCAGTTGAGAATGGAAAGGTATTAAGTAGTAGTCCCACTCACCGTGCTTAACGCCGACATGCTCTTCAACACCTTGATGCACGTGGATTGATAATAATTAGAATTGAAAATAATACATGTAATGTGATAAGAATACTGATGAGAAGACGTAAGACAGGAGTCTGAAAAACACTTTTAAAAAGAGTCGATCGAGAAAGACGTTCTTCGAAGAATAGTCAGTATATTCAAAGTCGATGACCAGTATCATGGGCTGTTATCCTTTAGACCGAACACAGGCACTGTCTTCAGTACCCTAACTCCTGACATGCGGAGCAGGGGCATGTCAGGGCAGAGTTCAGTGTGGCGCCAGTACGATTCTTCATCAATTGTAGAAGCACGCCAGGCGATCACAATTGGTGGAGAAGATGCGCGTCACGCCAAACCCACCCCCACCCCGACGATGGAGCGATTTCGCCAATGATTAAGGAAAGCGACGGGGCGCATAATGGAGCCCTGTTGGTACGGCCGTACTCGGCCAATGTGGAAATCCTGAGCAGTTGAAAATTTGGGCGGGAACAGCTGCCTTAGCTGCGCCTCCAGTTCGACACCATTACGCGCCTTGCCCTTTACAGGGATCCTGCTGTATATAAAACGGCGACGTCTGTCTGTCTGTCTTTTTGTCTGTCTGTCCGGAAATTCGGAACTACCTGAAAGCAGCCAGTCTTAGGGGCGGGTCAAGGTTGGGATGGGTAGGGGCATGGACCAAGGATGTACGGGAACACACGTAACTAGGCTAAGCCCGCCCACTGTGGCGGCGCGTGCGCATAGTTGTGAGCCATATTTCAAAAATTCGTATTCGGTTCCAAAAAATCCCCGAGAGTGGGAAAAAGTGCGCAAACGATAGGCCAATCACAATCAGTTCGCGGACGAAATGACTGAAACAAACCCATTTTGAGCGGGGTGTTCTACAGATGGGCGGTGCTTGCTTCGAGACTTTCAAAAATTCCCAGTTCAGTTCCAAAAGAGCCCCGAGAGCGGAAAAAGTGGCAAACGATAGGCAATCAGTTCGCGGACGAAATGACTGAAACAAATCCATTCTGTGCAGGGCGTTCTGTAGGTAAGCGGTGCCTGCCACGAAAGTTTCAAAAATTCGTAGTTGGGTTCCAAAAAAGCTCGGAGAGTGGGAGAAGTGGCAAATGATAGGCAATCAGTTGGCGAACGAAATTAATGAAGCGCACCCCTGATGGGCGGAGCGTTGACGAGCGTGGACGATGCCGAGGACGAAAACCCTCGTAACGCATCCGTAAAACCCTACGAAATGGGGAGTGAGCTGAAACTAAGCAATGGTATGGCAGATGAACACAGTGCCGCATGGAAAATTTTGATGACTGTTAGGGGGGTATATACTAGAAGTGAAACGGCAAAGTGCGATAATTCTCAAAATAGTATTTCTTTCGACCACCAGTTTTCCATGTGAGGGAGGGCCAGCCGAATCGGTCGGCGAAGCCGGCCGATCCGACTGGTCATGACTATGAAGGAAGAGAATGGTAGAATGGAGTTGAAGACAGCCCTCGCGCTCAAGTAGTACATGGTCATCCTTCCTTGTGCAAGTAGTACAGCCCTCAAGCTAGAGACTGTTCCACTCTCGCGACTCCACAGCGAGCGAGGAGCAAGCTACAGCCGCTCAAAGTTCTAGTTTTAACGCCCGCTCAGCTGGACCACCTCACTTGCTAGATGTCCACTGACGGGGGGCGGCTCAGTTGTTTTTTGTTGGGGCGGCGGGCATGAATCGGCGTTCATGTCCTTTTCGGTGACCACGCTCGTGTCCATGAATAATTCTCCTTCCCTTTATTACATTTTATTCAATAGCAGCACATACAATCAACTTCATCCCATCTTGCAAGGTAAAACGCGTAAAAATCACGAGCGACCAAATTTAAGTGTTGCAAAAGCTTGACGCACTAAACACACTAAAAGATGCACACTACCGTAGCCTTATATACGGACGCCGAGTTCTCAAAAGTTTATTTTGTTTTTTCTTCCGTGTTTTTGTTGTTTTCCGTATTCATTTTTTGCATTGGATGATATCCATTGCTGGGAGATGTGATAAAGGGATTTGTGAGCCAGGGTTTGCACAATGAGCGCAGGACTGTGTGACCGACAGAGAGCGGTCTTGTTTATGGTGTTCTCGAGAACTCTTCTTGCTTTTTCTCTTCTTCGGAGAATTACTTATCAGCTACTGTTTCGTAATTGAAAAGCACGGGAGCTGTCTTTAGGCAAACATCTTACTGCAACCGGTAATTATAGCCGCCATCAAGTTTGCATCACTTCTCACACCCTTACATGCTACCTCTGTAATTGTTAGTATTTCCACTTTCGTCACACTGTATCTGACTAGCTTCGCTAAGACGCTCACCTGAATAGACGAGATGATTGAGTCGGATACGGAAGTCCCGTATACAGCGTAACCAGTTAGGGCAACAGGGCTATAGAGGAGAAATAACACTGAAAGTACAGAAATCATTGCTGCTGCTCGTGGACATTGAGAGTGTTTAGTGCTATACAATGTTCATGGTCAAAATTTCATCTAATCCACCCTGTGAGATATAGCTGATAACAATCTCATTGCAATCAGTCGGGACGGTGGCAGGAGGGGCGAAACGGGGCCCCCTTCAGGTGTCTTGCTCTACCAATGACAATCGTTTAGCTATCGATTCAGGGAGAAGCCGCAGGAGAGTTAGCCCACCCCTCTTGAAAGCGTCCCGAGTGATTGCGGCTTCATCAGCTGTAAGCTTCAGTTTACCAGTTATCGTAAGATCAAAAAGCAACGACTGCTAATGACTTACCAATATAGCTTAGGATAACTGCTTTGCTAAAATGCCTTGGTTTGACCATATCATGCTGAATAGTGGGAAATACGGGATGACCACCATAAGCGAAGACAATGGTGCCAAAACCAAGTGTAAATTGCTTCGCCGTAACGGTGGTATAGGAGGCGGCCTGAATTAGATCGAAAAGGATTAGTAGATCGCTTTTATCAATCTCCTCGGTGTGCGCTAAGTAACAGGGCACATCATTAGTTGGGGATTTTGATCGAGTCATTACGACCCTCCCCCTCTTTTTGAGGTTGGTACAGCCCCCCCCCCTCCCCTATCTTGCCCTATGTCCTTGCTCATCGAATCGAGCCGTCGAGCGGTGAAGGGGGGGGGGGTATATAGGCATGAAATAGGAAAATCAGAATCAGACCACCTCTTTTTTTAGGAGGGTTGGTACAACCCCCCTCCCTTCCTCATCCCACCTAACCTTCCTTGTATTTTTCCAACATCCTGCCACTTTTCCGGAACTCTCCGGAAATTTTCCTGCTCTCACCCAAAAGTTTTACTCTCGAGCGGAGGGGGGGGATATGGTGCACATGAAACAGGAAAAAACCGGGAAAAGTCAGCACCCTCTCTCAAGAGGCCAGAAGTACGACCCCCTCCCAAGACAATTACGACTCTCCCCCCCCCCCGTACGACGTTCCTGAAACAAGAAAAATCAAATATCAAGAAAATTGTTCTTGGCCCAAATACGAACCAGACTCCTTCCAACCAATTCCCGGCGATCAAATACGAGTTTCTGTCGGGGAATTCTCAATTACCAGGGCACATTATTGGTTGGGGATTTTGGTCCAAGCCTGTACGACCCGCCGTTTTGGAGTTGGTTCGACCCCAGCCCTCTGTCCTTCCTCACCGAATCGAGTCGTCAGAGCGAGGGGAGGGGGTAAATAGACAAAGAAAAATTGCGAGACAATACGACCCCCCCCCTTTGCAACGTCCATGAAGCGAGAAAATCAACTATCAAAATAAATTTTTCCCAATCCAAATAGGACTCCCCTCTCCTGGCGGCCAAATACGACCCCCCTATGGGATTGCCCAACACGATGTGCCATGTCAACAACGATGTACCCTGCTGCGCAATCGACTCAGGTTGTAGCTGCGTTCACAATTTAGCCTGTGGTGTTGGCCAGAAGAAGTGTAGGTAGCTGCGGTAATCCTTCTAAGTGACTCTGGTACCACGTTGAACACCAGAGTTGCTGGCGCGCGAGAAGTTCTGCAAGCGGGCTCACTTGTGCGGCAACGCGGCAGAGTCTGCAGCGTGTGAAGGCGAATAGGTAGGATGCACTCTTACTGGGTTCACGCACTCCACCTCAAAATGGACTACAGCCCTTTCATCGGTACTACCTTGATTAATGAGCTGCCAAGACTGCCATCGACTTCCGCTGTGACCACAGTTTGCAAAAACTGCCGTCATCGCGCGCGAAAAAATCGGTAAAAACTGAATCACAGGCTCACCTGGAAGCATGTGGGAATGTCGATGGAAGTACCGATAAGATCAGAATGACGGCGATGGTTGTTGAAAGTGGCACCGATCGATACCTGCCTATAATAATAAAATAACTTCGGAATGGCAGCACTCGAGNGAACAGAAAGTCCTGTAAGCTCTGANCGGGGGTTCACGTAGGGCTTTGCTCTCACAGGGACTTTGGGACTCCCCAACGCACGAATTGGGATCTCCAGGGCGCGATATAAATAGGGGTCGTGCTTAGTCGTTAGAGGAGGAAGGGGCACGCAATTGGTCGAACTTTTCAATTGCGAATTTTTCTCGTTTCACGAGACAATCCCCCCCCCCCACCGAAAGACATTTGAGAGTCAGCAAAGGTAGACGATGAGCACTGAATGCTATAGCAGGGTCAATACATAGATGTGTCATCAACTAAATTCAGATTTCAACTGTTAAAACCGATCCCAAAAAATGGTTGAGTGGTGTTGCAGGACTTGCCGTTCGACTTAGAAACTCCATCGGTAGGAGAGTTACCAGAAATGCATAGGGCTGCGTAGCATCATGAAAGGCCATAAAAATATGGCGACGGCGAACAGACTGATACAGAAATGGATGGGATATCCAAAGAGGTGTAGAAGATCGGCGATGTTACGAGCAGCCAGAAGAGAGAAAACCGAAGCACCGCCGAATAGAGTGATCTGGATGAGGACATGAGCGATTTGACTGAAAAGAATAAAGTCTAATTAAGGTGAAATTATCATATACAGACTGTAACATCAACTGAGAAGGGGCGGGTCAAAAAATGTTCAAATGAGCCCATCCGCGGTGTCGCCACGATTGGTTCTTTTCTTCCTGTATTGAACACTAACCGAGCAACATCGGTTGGGCAAGACTGTACGCAGACTCATCCGCCCCTCTTAACACCGCCCACCCTGTTTGCGATGTTATGAACTACATATATTCTTCACTTCGGAACCTCTTCAGAATTTGATAGACTTGTCCGATAGGAGTACTCACTAACAAGCTCAGTTAAAAAAGCTCATCTCATTGTGGAAGAGTACATTTCTTGTTCGTTTGCCTTTGTTTTTTATGGGTTGTGCAGGGTATTTGCTGCATTGGTTTTATTTAACCATACAGTGAGCCGTGTAATAATAGAAAGAAAGGGTTTAGGGCGCTTTCTGGTATTACTACGCCATGAAATAATTGCGAAATAACAAGCAAAATTCACAAAAAACGGCTTACCTTGCTCGACCTCCAATAGACCGGTAAGCCATTTCGGCGTAAGGACTCCGACAAGGTTCCAAGTACTGTGGCCATCGTTTCTGCATTAATAACCAGTTGTCACCTAGTTGCATTGCCGTTCGAGCGGTTACCACAGCGAGAAGGCAGAGAAGAATTGGGCCACCAATTAGACCTGGAATTAACATTAGAGCTTACTTCACTTTCTAACTTAGGGGTAAGTGGCATAAAAAATCGACAAGGTGAACAGAGTTGGTACACTTGCCTTGAAAGATTACTGTAATATACTCAATACCCAGCAGTTTCGCGCTTTTTTCAACCAGGAGCACCTTTATAGCCCCAGTCAAGGTGCAACATGCCGACCCAAACCCCGTCGGAACTGCGCGCCCAGAAATGGCTTCACAGTCACAGCGACGCTAGCACTCTTGTCACTTGATTTGTGAGGTAGAATCGAATGGAAGCGCTGATACTGGATATGTGAGTGCATAAGTGCAGCCGTATCTATCAAAACGGTGTCTGGGACAACTCCACGGGAAACTCGTCCAAGAAGGTTCGTCCACAGCCGTGCAAAGCAAAGGTTTTTTCGTGGGTTTTTTGTCTTCTACCTTGCTTTTTCGTCATTTTCCCCACAACATAGTACCGTACTACTATTTTTTAGCAGACGCTCATAATCGTGCCTTATCCATTTAAAAAACACACTTTACTTTCCAACTTCAAATTTTTCGGAGCACTTTCTTCGGGACATAGTCGTGTGACGCCCAATCGACTGATTTTCGATTCACCATTTCCTCTTTTCTCCGCTGTCATGCAGACAGGGTTCCTTTCCAGTCGAAAAAATACGGCCCTCCCACACGTGCCGAATTCCTAAGTGGATATTCGACCCTATGCTCGTTGACGTCAGTGACTTCTTTCTACACTTGCGACTATGAATTCGAATGGATTATGGGGACCTCGAGATGCTGTAGGGCATCGCATGATCCTAGTATGGAGAGTGTTTCTCAACATTTTGGCACTGTTGGCGCAATTCGGCTCGGTGGGGCACCGAATGGTACTCAGCTAACCAGTTCAACAGGTCAGCCTGACCATTTGCAATGAGATGCACATCACTGTACTCATCTTAACACGGTGAACTCAGAGGTGTCTTCAAAATTTGCAGAATGATTCCCTGAGCGGAGTTATGGAGTTTTTCTCTACTTTTCTTTTCCAGGCGCGCTGGCGCCGAAGCGTTGGCACCTGTAGCGCTACTCACAGCGCTCTTCGCGCAGAATAGCTACCATATTCGTGTTCAGGGGTCAAATAACCCCCAGAAACGTTACCACAGCCAAGTCTAAGGTTCTGACTCAACTTCAAAAAATGGGGTATGGATAGTTATGGGCGAGTGATAGCTAACAGCGATACTACTATGACTAGCATACTGGTAATGACTGGTCTTCGAACTGAAATAACCCTTCACTCATGTCTATTCGCAAATATTTTGTGCCGTCTGCATGATTTTCGTGACTATCGGGAGGAAATCCCATTCCGAGACCAGTCATCGATGGTAGGGTGAGCTCCAATCTGCTGAATTACCCATGGGATAGCCCACATTTTCCAAGTGAGGTCGAAATATCAGATTCGGCTAGAAACGTGTCCCCAAGGGTAATTTAATTAGCTGAACATGAACATGATGGTATTTTATTGCGAAAACCCTTGTGACACGTGCTACGAGGGGTACAGGCAGAAAGACTCTTTCACTTTAAAAAAATCTGATCGCAGGTCCCCTTGCAGGGTAGTGCAGGCGAGCGGAGATTAGAGGCTTTGTCAGCTATGCTCTTGGACAAATGCAAAGTAAGGGACCGGACCGGGTACCGATCCTACGACGTCTCGCCTGAGAACCCGCTCTCTACCCGTTACGCTCTACTACCACGTTTCTCAACGACTCCACACATAAATGTAAAGACGCGTCCACGTTTCCTCGCGATAGCATGTAAAACATTCAGGCGGGGATAAAACCCTCCATAACTCCGTTCAGAGAATCGTTCTGCAAATTTTGGAGACAGTTCTGAGCTCACCATCCCAAGACGCGCACAACGGTGTGTAGCTCATTGGAAATGGCTGGGCTAACCTGAAGACCTTTCCTGGTAGGCTCTAAGGCCACACTGTGAAGACCTGTAGAGTTCTGTGATCGGACTGGCTCACTCGAACAGTTTCACAGCTTCGCGATGTTACAGGTCTGGCCAGCGTGGGACCTGATGAACTGACAAAGGGACAAGCACAAGTGCAAGAGTCCCTCTAAGCCGAACAGCGACGCGAACGTTTTTCGCCTGCGAATGGAAGCATCCTCCAATCGGATATTGGGGAACCTTGCCCACCGCGATGGTCTTTGCCAGTCACAATCAGTGCTTACTAGGAGAGTCCGCCAACTTACCATGGAATGGAGTTCTGTGTGGATCGATAGAGTCTTTAAGGTAATTTACAAACATAGATAGCAAAACTGCAAACTGCATTTCACAAGCAACTTATGAGCAGGTAAAATTTGTAATGGTGAGTAGGGTGAAGGCTTGGTGGTGAGCTGTGAAGCATAAGCGACGAATCGCATACGTCGAATCGAGTCGTCGAACGTCGAACTTACCACTGTACCACCACGACTCAATTCGAGGTATACGAGTCTTCGCTTACGCTTCACAGCTCACCACCAAGAATTCACTCTCTGCACCACTACGAATTTTACCTGCTCATAAGTTGCTTGCAAAATACAGGTTGCACTTTTGCTATCTGTACTTGTAAATGACCTTATGACTCTATCGATCTACCCAGGTCTCCATTCAAAGTTCCGTGGTGAGTTGGCGGACTTCCCTGGTAGCTGCCAGTTTTTTTTGAATACTTAATCGGAATTGAAATAATCGCCTCTTTTGAAACCATCGAATTTCGTTCACCTGTGTTTTTGATGGCGTTTGGCATAGCCACCAAACCGCTTCCGGCCGTCTCTCCGATGATGAACACAGCCGCCACCCACCATGAAAAGCCGCTCGATTGCGTCGGCTTATTTTCTATTTGCTAAAACAGATAAGCTTCACCACTTGTACACGAAGACGGGCAAGAGAATCGTAAATTGCCACTTTGTCGCGTGCGGCGATTGGCGCGACGTTTCCTTAATTTGAACTGCCCTTTTGATGGAAGCATTGGATTTCATCAAGGCATCGAAAGCAGTTATGTCTATTTTGGTCATACATTATCTATTCTCGACTAATAGGGCCCAAAATCGTCGTCGTTAGCGGGGCGCGACGTCGCACGCGACGCTCACTGGAGCGGCGAATTACGATTCTCTCGTCACATACCCGCCTTACACAGCTAGAGTACATTAGAACTACTAGATCGTGAATAGTAAAGAGGCTTACCTTCGTCATTGAGATCACGTATACTGGTGCGGTGTTGGTTGAGGGTAAAAGGCGATATGTTTGGTTCCACCTTGATGTTACTCACTTCAGTCTTCACCGAGTCACACTTAAAAGGCCGTTATTCCAGGTAAATCACCGTCATTTCAGACACGCCAGAAAAAGGAAAAAAAGCAAGAATGAAATAATGGAGTAATGACCACCACCAAATAAGGAATCGGGGAGAACGGGGTGAAGTCTAAAGTATGTGTTTGAGAATGGAGATGATGCAACAACGAGTTGAGACATGCGAATTGGACAGATCGCCGATGAATGACAGCTGGAGATCGGTCGCCAGACAAAAACTTGAAATTCAAGGCAGTGAATGGGATTTGCGTCCAGGTTGCTGCAATAAATTGTCGACCTACAGAATTGCACAGGGGCATTGATAAAATCACGTAGAGGCGCAGCTCGGCGACGGGGGGGGGGGGGTTTGCTCTTTGCTACTGACCAGGTTTTATCACGGTAGCTTATGAGCCTATTCTAGTTTAACAAGAGTCGCGCAGGTTTTCACCAGACTGAAACCTGAAAATCGGAACTAGTGCAGCGAGTGAAGTGCAAAATGCCCCCCCGGTCGCCGAACAGCGCCTCACGTAGGAGTGAGAAATCTCTTCAGGGAGGAGCTAGGGGCAATCACAGATTTTTATAAACATTTTAAACATGGAAGACCGAGTACAATACCAACAGGACGATGATTCTGAACAGCTCTCATTAATGGCATCAGCACCATAATTTGATACTTGCTCGAAAATAGTAGCAGGGGTGCCATAGAGTGAGAAAATGGCAGAAAATCGAACTAAAACGCCTTGAATTTGCGAAAAACCTTCGTGCTGCCCGGCAGTGGACGAGCATTTCTGGGCGAGTTCCCCATTAGCATAGTGACAGCAACCACGTAGATACGGGTGCGTGTATGCTTCGCATACCGACGCAGCAGCGCTTCATATCAATTGTTCTTCATGAATGGAGCAATAAGAGTACCGGCGTCGGCGTAACTGTATGGCAATTTAAAGGCACTTCCCGCGACCGCACATCTTAGGTAGCAGAGCTGAAAAACAGGAATGCATTGAGCTAGTTGCCTAAGTAGTGAAGAAAAAAATATGAAAAGCTGCTCTCAATGGACTTCTTTCTTGCATTTGATCGTGATCACTGGACGAGACTAAGATGGTCAACATCAACAGTGATATGCGGAAGGTAGCGATACACTGCAAAGTGCGGAGAGAGACCAGAAATCGACGGGAGAGAGCCCAACGGCATTAGTACGACGACAAGGGCAAGGGAGGTCGGCATGGGCCTTCTTGGGCTTAAAATCTATGTTTACTGTGCTTTGCCTGCCACTTTTCAAGTTTTGAATGTAGTGCAGCCTCTACAATCGCCTACCGAATTATTTGACACATTTAAGAGGTTGTAGCCTCAGTTTATCGCGAAACGTGCCTTTAAGGGTGGGCAGGGGCGGTGGGCGCTTGGCTGGGCATGATGCACTTTGATCAGGTGCCCTTGGTTGGAAAAGGCGCCACGCAGTGCCTGTAATGGAGAGCAATATCCTTTCGCGCTAGGCATATCGAGGCTGTACGCCTTGTCAATTATAGTGGCACCTGCCTTCAGGATGACTCTGGATATTTCACGTTGCCCGTATCGGTGCATCTTTCGAGCTCTTATGGTGTCGCATCATGGCGACTGCAGAACAATGCAAGGGCTCGCTGAGAATAAGGCTCTATCGGGTGCTAGATGTCTTCCGTATGACGATCATGGCCTAAATGCAACTTTGTGGGTATAAA